ACCAAACTAACCAACCAACCACCAAACTAACCAACCAACCAACCAACAAAACAACCAAACCTTCATCCAACCAATCAACCAATCAATTCTTGCCCTTCTTTTGTTTTCGGGCCGTAACGCCCGGCTTGTGTCCCTCCAGCCCTCTGCCCAACCACCCTGACACCAGCGCCACCACACTGCGGCGGAGTTGTCGGGAGAACCCTGAACAGGGGAAGGGGGGTCGCCCGGGCCGACCAAAGACGGCGCTCTCCTCCAGGAAACAGGTGGGTGTCTCATCCTCCTTTCCCTCCGTCTCACATTAACCCCGTTGTCCGCTCTCCTTTCCCGTTGTAACATCTCGTCTTATCTCTCGGGTAATCAGGCTGCGATAGCTTGAGTCACATTTGACCCCGGTCACGTCTTTGGATGTGTTTGTGATCTGGTGAAAACTCAGAGGCCATGATTCCCTCTTCAAAGCGTCGGATGAAGTGGCCTCTTGTCGGCTCCGTGCTCTGGTTGTTATGAGGTCCTGAAGGCAATTGTGACATTTATTGCTCCTTTTGCTCAGACTGAGCTTTTAGTGAGAAAGCTCTCTCTCTCTTGCTCTTTCACTCTCTCTCTCTTGCTCTTTCACTCTCTCTCTCTCTCTCTTTCACTCTCTCTGTCTCTTTACCAGGTATTTCTCGGCCGTGCTGCTGTTTTTTTTCCTTTCGCTCTTGGAAGTAGAAATACCGTCTCAGGCCTTTTAGTCCTGACAGCATCTACCTTCATAAGCTTTTATCCACTCTGGAGTTTCACAACAAGCTGTTTTTATTCCACAAGAGATTGGTGTTATGTCCACATTTTAAAAGTTGTGTGCTTCTTCTGAAAGAGAGATTTCTGTTCCCTGCAGAGGCAACACGATGTGTTTTCAGAGGCCGTTTGAAGCAGATCCGTGTGGTTTTGAATGAGCAGATTTATTTTCAGGGATGGTTGCCTCCCTGTGCTGCTGTTTGCAAAGACTGAGCTTCATGAAATTAGTTTCAAATGATTAGCAAATCTTTGAGTATTTCGTTCACTGATTTATTCCAACAATCAGCAGCTCTCTACTAATTCTGATCACAAAATGGAACAGTGACTTCCACCCCCCCACAGCGAATCTCTCCAAAGAATAAGTCTACAACTTATTCAATGAAAAACAACATTTCAAAGTAAAACGGGGCTGACAGCTCCATTTTACATTCCGGAGCCTAAATCACTGAAGATATTTCCTTAATCTTGAATCTTGAATCCCTTCGCCTCTGTTTTCCTGGACAATCTATCAAACCAACATTTTGCCGGTGACCCAGTAGGTTCAAGGGGAAACATTTAAAATACTTAAATAAAAAATAAATCCTCAAAGTATTGACTTACCTCAAACAGATTCATTGATCAAATCCAACCATTACCTCATTTTAAAGTGATAGAAAATAAAATCATCCTTCTGTGGTTCCACAACTGGGAATTATTTCAGTCAAGGTCAATAAAGTTTTTATTATATTTGCTGGTATGACTCTGTTCTGCCCCCCCCCTCCCCCACACCTTTCCTCGGGTCCACAGGTGGAAACCTAAAGCCGAGCGAGCAGCAGCTCCTGCAGACGAAGCGACCGATCACACAGGAAGTAGTTTTTCCTGTGAGAGGCGTCTTTTAAAGCAGCTTAAACAAAACGCCCTGTATGAGATTTACTGAATTGAATGAAGGGAATCAGGCTGAACTGAGATCTGCTGCTATTATCTGAGGCACTGGGACTGAGCTCGACTCTGTGGTTTGATTTCTATCATGTGTGAAGGTAGGGATGAGGGCAGGGGGGTGAAGGGATGAAGGTAGGGATGAGAGAAGGAAGATGAATGGATGAAGGTGGGGATAAGGGGAGGAGGATGAAGGGATGAAGGAAGAGAGGACGAGGGGGGGATAAGGTGATTGGAGGCGTGGCCCTGTAGATGTAATGAATGAATGAACGCTGTCGTAGCGTCAGCGTGTTGTTCAAACACCAGATGACAGAACTGGACTCTGGTTCCTGGAGTCTCAGTGTATTTCCTGTGTCAGTGTCTCTGCACGAACACCGGCCTCCGTGAGACTGAACTCTCGTGCGACGGCGGAGCGGAGATCGTAATCTCGTGCGTTCAAGGGGCCCCGTCGAGGAGCAGCTGATTTGCATAATGTGATTTGGGATTTACATTGAAGTGTGCGGATGATTTCACTCCCTCAGTTCTTCAATAGGCACTTCATGCTCTCTCAGCCGTCATGTGATAGGCCAACGTAATCTGATGGCGGTTTGATAAACTTGTGTATGCCGAAGAATGGCACTTTCATGATTGGAGATTAACACAGTGTGGCGTGAGATTACTGTAAAGTTTTAATCTCTGAGAGTTTCCTCACGTCTGTGATCCCCTCGTGGGGGGGGAGAGGGAAGCTCGGTCAATGTTTGGTCATCGGCATCGGAGGCTCAATGTTGATTCTCTGGCTCGGTGTGAAGCTTCAGGACATTCTGTCTGTTACCAAACGATAAATACACAAACAAATCTGTTTTTAATGAGTCAAGCGTTCTGCATATTCAGAACGCCATCCGGAGCATTCTGTCCCTTTATCGCCGCGCACGGATAATTAGAAAGCTCTTGTCTCCGCCTCCTTTGTGTCCAATTACACGCTTTGTTGTGCAGGAATTTTCTTTATTTTATTTGACACCTGCTGAGCTGGCTGTCGCTGGCTCCGAGCCTACGCCACGGACACAGACCTTTATCTCAGACAGCAGTTCGCCCCGGGAGGATGCATGTGCACGACACCTGCTATCAACCTGCCGCACTTTGTTATTCTATTTATTTATTAAGAGTTTCTGCCGCGGTGGAGAAAACAGCTGAGCGAGAGGCAGCCACGCTTCAGCAGAGTCGACACGGCTCAGTGGAGGTGAGGCGGCGGAGACCTTTAAAGGAGCTGCAGACGGACGGGCGAGGCCGGGCAGGACAGGTGCGGAGCTTTATTGGCTCCTGATAAAAATGAACCGCTGGAGTCTCACAGGCTGAGAGAAGATAGCGGCATCACCTCATCACGCGTTGTGTCACCTGCTGAACATCCTGTCAGAGCGGCCGCAGCATCATGAGCTGTGTTCAGGAATCAACTCCTCGAAAATGTCCAGAGGATTGAGTCTGGACAATTTTCTAGGATTTGTAGGATTCGTGCGGGCGATTGTTGGTTATCTTCGCTTATTCATCAGATTCAAAATGTAGCTGCTAAGACCTGGCAGTGGGTCCAGAGGTGGAGAGACTGGTGTATATCGTTGTTGTCTCTGGAGGGTATAAATAAACTGATGTCATCATTTCCCCAACGCTCTGTTTTACACGTGGATACTCACAGTTTGTCAAAATGTCCAAAGCATCTGACTCGGACGTTTGCGTTCTCACACACAGCCCCTCCCCCCCTCCCGTGCATGACTGAAAGCAGCTCTGGATCCAGAACAAAGTATTTTTGGTTGAGTTACATGTGAGTCAGAAAGTTACGTGTGTGAAGAATGAACGAGAGCCGGTCACACACATGTAGACACACACACTCTCATGCATCATCTGTCGTGTTGAGGATGACTCAGAGGCAATCACAGCCAATCAGGGGAATTGTAACGATGCATCAGCTCTTATTGCTCTGGGCCGCGGAGGTTTGGCTCCGACGTTCAGCTCCGTCCATTGCTGTGGCTGAACATCGACGTGATGCGTCAAAGCCCCGGCATCTCATAAATCTGTTTTCACCAACTAATGTAATTAGACTGAGTGTGCTAATGACCGACTCACTCATTATGAGAGGTTGAGGTTTTCCCATCAATGAATCATGAGACACCATCGGGGGACAAGAGGCTTTAACTTTCCTACCGATTCACACACAAATGAAGATATTGGTCTTTTAACCGTGTCTCTGCTTCTCCCCCACAGGTGACGAAGATGTTGGCCGTGGTGGTGATCCTCTTCGCTCTGCTGTGGATGCCGTACCGGACGTTAGTTCTGATCAACTCTTTTGTGTCCACGCCGTATCTGGACGCCTGGTTCCTCCTGTTTTGTCGGACATGCATTTACGCCAACAGCGCCATAAACCCCGTGATATACAACGCCATGTCTCAGAGGTTTCGCTCTGCGTTTCGCGGACTTTACCGTTGCCAGCGGCCCGAAGGAATTCAGAGGACACTGTCGACAATCCAGACCGGCCTCAGCACCAGAGACCCGCGGACATCCCACGCCAGCAGAACAGCAGCCGATAAAAAGGCCAAGATGACCGTCCTGAACACCACCACCGATCTGACTACGAAGCAGAACGGAAGCAGCCACCAGGAGGCGAGCGAGAAAAAAGCCAAACATCCGTCTGACATCACAACAGCTGCCTTCAGTTTCTGTGTGCGTCCCTCAGAAACGCTGCCATCTGGAGGTGAAGACGTGGCTCAGCCGTCCGCAAACGCTGCCACGGACAAACAGGAAAACAAGTAAATATTCCCAGTTCACCAGATTGTGGGAGGTTTTCTCACTTGACGACAAAAGAGAGAAGAGGTCATTTATTTCACGATTTAAAAATGGTGGATTCCAGCCGGTCACGTGACCATAAACCATCACACAAACAACACAAACAACACAAACAACACAATTCAATTCATTTCAATTTCTTTGTTGGAACAAAGAAAAGAGTTTTATTCAAATACTTTACTAATATTACACATTCGCCTCATAGATTAGTTTATTAAATACTACGAGTCCTGGATCGGTTCAATCCAACGTTCATGTTACATCATGTTTTTTCAGTGAATCATTTCCTGTCTGTGAATCACGCTCATGTTTTCTAGTCTGTTGCTCGTCATCTGGGATTTAAAGCCGAGATCTGATGTGAACATTGAGAAACAGCATCGTTCATATGTGAATAACGTGACGCTCGTTGATACGCGTCGAATCCGACTGCAGCAGACGCTTCTCCAAGTCTCCTGAGACACCGGTCACCTGTGAATAGTGTTTTGTTGTTAAAGGAGACGTGTTTCAAGGCCCTGGCTGAAAAATGCGGCAAAACATTTATTTAATAAACGGAAATGTTGGTGCGTTGAACACCTCGTTACCCAAACCCTAACCCCGATGACGTGAATCTAAAAATGCACATGATGTCTCAGCTCCTCTCAGTTTCCGTTAATTCGAAACAGAACATCAGAGCATGTAAACATTTTACGGTAATAACACAGATTTATGATCATCAACCTGAATACGAGCAGAACGTGTTTCGTTTAAAGTTTGCAACAGGATTATTTCAACAGAGCCACACAGGCGTTAAGAGTACAAATATGGAACATTATGAAACATGTGTTGGTTAAAATACTAAATAA